CAGGCACGTATTAAAAAGGTATTTAAACACGTCTATTACTAGTAGTTTTTTATATAAGGCCACGGATTATAGTATTTTAAAGTGCGATAACCTAGGCAAGGCTAGGAAGCTAGGCTAGAACCTGTTCCTATTAACAGCAAGATTATATAAATGCAGTTAGGAAAGAAAATAGCAGAGGCGTAGGTAAATATAGAGAAGCAAGCCTAAATAACTATCTAAGCCGGCGAAAGAGATAAGGTAAACCTATAGTTAGAGCGGATATAGTAGTTGCTATATTTAGTAGGTATAGAGAGGCCGGATTTATTAGTATATATTAAGGAGCTAAATATAAACCTAAAGTAGGAGAAGGAACCTATTAAAGCCGTAATTTAGAAGGCTATAAACGGGTTAGCGCGGTTTAGCTAGGCGTTAGTTATTAATTAAATTGGTATATTTATATAGTTAGAGGCGATTTAAATAGAAAAGCACTAAACGCAGTACTAGCTATTGCAGCCGTATATAGATAAGAAGTTAATTAGCGAATATACTTAGCTATAGAAGCAGATATTAATGTTTTTTGCCTATATACAGCGTAAGTATAAATAAAAGAGCCCTAAGTACCGGTTTACGCGGTAGTAGTAAAAAGCGTAGAAGGCGTTAATTAAGCAGGCCGAGCAAGAGGTAGAGGAAGAGGACGAGATAGAAGAAAAGGAAAAGGATAAAATAGAAGAAAAGGAGAATAAAATAGAAATTAATAAGATAGATAGTAATAAGGAGCAGGGAACAGGAGATAGTAGGCCTAAAAACGCTAGCAGTAAGCTAGAAGAGTTAATAGGCATCTAGAAGGCGTGTTTACAGTTTTATATTAAGTTGCTAAACTAATCTATTACCTATAAGGAGTATAACAGCCTATTAGTATATATATTAGCAGTATTAGGTGTTAAGAAAAACAGCTGGAAGGGCCCTAAGTCGTATCCGCCTATTTTATTAGCCGTTATTAAGGTTACCTATTTTATAGTAGTTTAGTAAGCGTTAGAGTTATTAGAGCTATTTTAAAATAGCGAGTTTAATAGTAATAGTACGTATAAAAGCGATAATAGTAGTATACTATTCTAGTAGTAGTAGAAAGGATGTTTACAGTTTATTTAAGAGATAATAGATAAGTTTATAGTCTAAGGAAGCCACAGGCTAATATAGTAGATATTAGATTTACGGATATATAGGTTAAAAATCTATTATAATAGTATATTAAGAGGCTATATTAAATAGATAGGCTATAATAAGTTATTATATAAGGGGTTATATTTTAATATAGCCTAGTTCTATAGTATAGTATACAGGTTAGTTATAGAGAGCCGATAGTTATTATTAAAAAAGCTGTTGTTTTTTAATAGCGGGATTTTAGCATATATATATACTAAAATCCTGCTACCTAGTAAATAGAATAAGATAACTAATTAAGTGCCCGTAATTCTATCCCACGGCGGTAAATAGAACCAGCCCTCGTTCTATTTATTTGTTAAGAATAGAAAATACCAGACCAGGGCGTAGATTTAGGCACAGGGCTTATTCTATTTATTTTTCAGAGGCAGGTTCCATTTATGTCCCGCAGCCGGAATTGCACCAAATTTTAGTATGTTATTCAGCGTATTTAGTTGCACCCCCTAGCCGATTTGCATTAGGTTAACCCGTATGGTTGGTTAGGGTTAGGTGGAAGTTATAGTGTTCGCAGAACCGCTGCGACTGCGACTAAGCGCGCAGCAGAACACCACCAGCCGTGGCCATATACACTATACGAACATTAGCAACAGCACCAAACCAATACCTATAGAAGGCAGGCGTGGTTAATATCCAATAATAGCGTATTAGGTGCAGGCAAGGAAGGTATAGCAGCAAATAAGGTAGCTACGGGCCCAATTTTTAGTTGGGGACGAGAATTTTAAGCCCGGATATATATATTAGCGCAGATCCCGTGCAGTTATACATAGATCCCGCGCAGGTATAGTTGTATTGTAAGTTGGGCTATAGTTATAATAGTTTGGCGGGTGGTTAGGGTGATTAGCAACCGCAGCAACTATGGCAGCGAGGCGAAAAGGGGGTGGAAATTGCACCCAGCAACCTATAAGTAGCACTCGTCGCCGCCTATTAAATATTAAGTAAGAGTTAATTCTAGAGGCAGACTAAGTATTTAAAATAGCCAAATCCAGTACTAAGAGCAGGTATTTTAAGCATTTAGCCGAATTCCAATTAGCTATTTACAAGAAGTGCAGGTATAGCGTATAGCTAGACTAGATTAAAGGCCATTTATAAAAGATCTATAAGGTACCGCGCAAAAAGGCCGATTTAATTAGAGAAGGTGTGCGCAAATAGCCCGGAGTTATCTAGTATCCGAGTAAGTTTGAAATGCCGGATAGTATTATAGCGCCAGTTAGCTAGTTGCCGTTATATTTAGATAGATTATTATATTAACTAGAACTAGGCCGTTGCTGTTATATATCGCGGAGTATTAGGGCAATAAGGAAGTATTAGCAAAAAATCTATAGGTGGTTAGTAGGAAGGAAGCCAGGACGGCTAAGTTAATTAGGAGAAAAGAGGGTGCAGGCACATATTAAAAAGGCATTTAAATATATCTATTGCCAGCGGTTTTTTATATAAGGCCACGGATTACAGTATTTTAAAGTGCAACAACCTAGGCAAGGCTAGGAAGCCAGGCTAGAACCCGTTCCCGTTAACAGCAAGATTGCATAGGCGCAGTTAGGGAAGAAGATGGCAGAGGCGTAGGCAAATATAGAGAAGCGAGTCCAAACAACTATCTAGGCCGGCGAGAAAGATAAGGTAAACCCGTGGTTGGAGCGGACGCAGTAGTTGCCGTATTTAGTAGGTATAGAAAGGCCGGATTTATTGGCATATATTAAGGAGCTAAACACAGACCTAAAGCAGGAGGAGGAACCTGTTAAAGCCGCAATTTAGGAGGCTATAAACGGGTTAGCGCGGTTTAGCCAGGCGTTGGTTATTAATTAAGTCGGCGTATTTATACGGTTAGAGGCAATTCGAATAGAGAAGCACTAGACGCGGTACTAGCCGTTGCAGCCGTATATAGACGAGAAGTTAATTAGCGAACACACCCGGCTGTAGAAATAGATGTTAATGTTTTTTGCCTGTATACAGCATAAGCATAAGTAGGAGAGCCCTAAGTACCGGTTTACGCGGCGGCAGTAAAAGGCGTAGAAGGCGTTAATTAAGCAGGCCGAGTAAGAGGTAGAGGGAGAGAACAAGACAGAAGAAAAGGAAGAGGATAAAATAGAAGAGGAGAAGGATAAAATAGAAATTAATAAGATAGATAGCGATAAGGAGCAGGGAACGGGAGATAGCAGGCCTAAGAACGCCAGCAGTAAGCTAGAAGGGTTAACAGGCATCTAGAAGGCGTGTTTACAGTTTTATATTAAGTTGCTAAACTAATCTATTACCCGCAAGGAGTATAACAGCCTGTTAGTGTGTGTATTAGCGGTGTTAGGTGTTAAGGAGGACGGCTGGAAGGGCCCCAAGTTGTATCCGCCTATTTTATCAGCCGTTATTAAGGTCACCCGTTTTATAGTGGTTTAGCAAGCGTTAGAGTTATTAGAGCCGTTTTAAGATAGCGAGTTTAACAGTAATAGTACGTACGAGAGCGATAACAGCAGCATACTGTCCCGGCAGCGGCAGAAAAGATGTTTACAGTTTGTTTAAGAGATAATAGATAAGTTTATAGTCCGAGGGAGCCACGGGCTAATATAGTAGATATTGGATTTACGGATATATAGGTTAAAGATCTATTACAACAGTATATTAAGAGGCTACGTTAAATAGATAGGCTATAACAAGTTGTTATATAAGGGGTTGCATTTTAATATAGCCTAGTTCCGCAGTATAGTATATAGGTTAGTTATAAAGAGCCGACGGTTATTATTAGAAGAGCTGTTGTTTTTTAATAGCGGGATTTTAGCATGTGCATATACTAAAATCCTGCTACCTAGCAAATAGAACAAGATAACTAATTAAGTGCCTGTAATCCTATAGAGTGAATTGCAGGATAATCCAACAGACGAGCGACCGGAATGGAATTTTTTAAAGAACTATTAAACGCAGTTGCCCGTTAATAGAGAGACGTGGTTATTCGATTATATCGGACGCGATCCTGTAACCCGAGGAAGGTTTTTAAAGGCAGAATACCGCTCGGGTATTAATTAATAAGGAGTTAAGCAGTATATATCACGCGTAATTAAATTCCGAGAGAAGTTGATTATATTAATATATATATTAGGAAGGCAGCCAGCACAAGAACCTAAGGTTTTAAGCGTTCGGCACAGCAATACAGTAAAGGGCGGGCATTATAATATATTTATCGAGGACGGTATAGTAGTATTTATAACGCGATACTATAAGGGTTATATAGTTAGTGGCGATATTAAGATTATCCATCGATATATACCGTGTAAGGTAGAGGAGTTATTAGTATAGTATTTATAGTTAGTGTTGCTGTTCCAGCAGCGATTAGAGGCGATAGTATAGGAGAAAAAGGCAATATTGTCGCATTTATAGCCGGCCGACCTAAGCAGGTATAAGTAGACGTCGGAATAGTTGCGACAGGCGTTAAAGCGCGAGAGCAGGGTCGGGTTAGGGCAGGAGCTAACTATCTAGTTATACTGTGAAATTGCTATTAGTATTAGCAGAAGGTTTATGCGCAGTTTAACGGCGTTTAGGGCAGAGGACGACAATAATAATAAGAAGTAGAATAAGGAGAATATAGCAGCAGCAATTGCAGACGAGCAGGCCGGGCATATATCGCACGTTGCCGGGTTAGTATATACGCGAGCAATTATAGAGCAGGCAGGAGCGGTGGCCGATAAAAGGCAGCAGTTCCGGGCATTAAGCATGGATTAGCATTAGTTTTTAGGATATTAGTTGGCTGTTAATAATAAGTTTATATTAAAGAAGCGGAAGCAGGCTCTATTTAAAAGCGAAGCAGATAAAGGTTAAAAAGATTAATAGGCGCGGTTAAGGAAGATAGATATAGCGGTATAGTTAAAGCGGATAATAGGTATAAAGGCGGTGTTCCGAGGCGTACAGGAGGACGTAATCGCGATAATTATAGCAGGCGAGAGCCCGGTGGTAGCAGTAATACCAACTAGTGCAGGAAAAAGCTTATTATTTATATTGCCAGCGTGGGCAGAGCAGGGTGGAATAATAGTAGTTGTGGTGCTGTTGATTGCATTGCAAGGGGATATAAAGCGGCGATGCAAGAAGCTGGGTATTTCGTGTAAGGAATAGGAAGAACGGCACCCCCTAGATGCGGCAGCCGTTGTATTAGTAACGCCGGAATCCGCCGTTAGTAAGGGATTTATAACGTTTTTAAATCGATTAAGGGCAACGCGGCAGCTGGATCGGATTGTTATTAACGAGTGTTATATTGTTTTAAACTGTTGATATACGTTCTAGAAGCAGATGCAGCAGTTAGGTAAGCTAGTGGCGGCCGAGACGCAGATAGTATTATTAACCGCAACGTTGCCGCCGATAGAAGAAGGGGAATTGTATTAAAGAATATATTTCCAGAGGGAGCAGGTAAAGATATTTAGGGCGAGGACAGCACGAGTAAATATAGCGTATTATATAGTTTAAGTAGATAGAGAAGGAAAATAGGAGATAGAGGAAGCGGTTTTAGGGATAATTTAAAGGAAAATTTAGAGGATTTAAACCGGGAAGGTAGTAGTATATAGTAGTATAGTTGGAAAAGTAAAGAAAATAGCGCAGGCGTTGGATTGCAGCGCGTATTACTATAACGCAGTAGGTAAAGCAAGTATATTAAGCGAGTTTATAGACGGCAAGCAACAGGTAATTATAGTAATAAGCGCGTTGGGTATAAAGGTGGATATACCGGATATTTAGTGTATTATATATATAGATCGGCCGCAAACGTTGTTAGATTACGCACAGGAGAGTAGCAGGGCGGGGCGAAACGGATTGCAGAGCGAGGCAATTATAGTTAAAGAAGGGGGTAAGAGGAGAAGTAAAGAAGATAGGTAGATAGAAGAAGAGCGGCGGTTAGTAGGGTTATATATAGAAGGGGAGGGTAAGATAGAAAAATATAGGAGGATTATATTAGACGGGTATTTAGACGGGCAAGGGGATAGAAATAGGTGTAAGGAAGGCGAAGAGTTATATAATATTTGCGGCGGAGTAGAAGAGAAGGTGGAAAAGGTAGAAGAGGAAATAGAAGAGGCTAAGGAAAAGGTTAAAGAAAAGGTGGGCGGGCAAGCGGTGCAGAAGGAGAATAATAAGGTTATATAAGAGGAGATATAGCGCAAGTTCCAGCAACAGGAGCAGGAGAAACGGGGCCCGCAGCAGGATTTAATTTGGGGTAGACAACAAGAGTTTATAGAGGTGGAATAGTTGCGGCAGCAGTTATAGCGGTGGGCAGGGCGATGCAGAGTATATAAAGCAGCGGGTTTAGGGCGGAGCAATTATAATTTGCGGCAGTATTAGAGGCAAGAAAGTTAACAGGTAAAGGAGATAGTAAAGATGTTGGAGGGGAGGATTAAGTTCAAGGCATTTTCGGGTTGTTTTTAGTATAGGGTGCTATAAGAGATTTACAATTAATAGGAGAGTAATAGATAGAGTAGGTATCGGAAGGTTTAAGGCGGGTGTTGCTAGTATACAGGTGTAGTAATAGCCGGGTTTATTAGGTTAATATTTAGGTATAAAACGGAGGTTTAGAAGCGTTGGAGGCGCCGGATAGGGAAGATAGAAGTGGATATAGATTTAGACGAGGAGTTAGTTGGTTATTTAGAAGGGAAACGGCAGTTAGAGGTAGTGGAAAGTAATAATTTAGCAGGAGAGTTTTGTTAGATTACCAGGTTAATAGTAGAGTAGGTAGAATAGTAGAGAGATGTATATTTTTAAGGAAAAAAATAATATATAATAAATATAATATAAAAATTAAATAGGATAGGATTAGTTTAAAAGGTGTATTATATTATTTAGAGGTTATAAAAAGATAAATTAGGTAAAAATAATTCTATTAACCTATGGGTAAAACATATCGTGGCATATGCCATATTATGATTTAAAACTGAACCGTGCGCTGCAACGATATAATTTAGAAACGAAAATTAAATTATACCGTGGCAAACCCCAACCGAATTTGCTGGTTCCAACGCTGCAGGCAAGTTATCGACTATTGCGCATTAAATACACTATTCGGATTAACGATGCGACCGTTGGATTATGTTGTCGTCGTCGCGTTGGGGTAGTTAGGGTTGTGATAATGTTCGTGGCTGTGCGCAGCGATCGCAGTTAAGGCGCGAACGTAGGAGGGTAGTTAAGTACCCAAAGTTCGTAATAGATGTAGTCGTTGCAAGCTATTTACAAGCCCTAGGTACCCGGAAATCAGGACCCACTATGCCACCAGTTGCACCCAGGCATGCAAGGTCGTAGATAGATCCCCCAGATACATAGTTAAGTGACGGGTGTAATAATCTAGGTGGCCAAGAGCAGGAGGCGTTGGGAAGGGTCTAAGTAGCGGTAAGAGTAGTTAAAAGCACGTCCGGCCGCTATTAACACGGCGATTAACACGTTTATTAATTATCTATTATCTAATATTCCATCATCCCATTATTATATTAAACCGTGAATCCGTTACAGCAATTATTGTAGCAATTGTATTAAACGCCATAGAACAATTCACCCGAATTTTCAAGCATATCCCGCAGTACCGCATTGTAGTTTGCCGAGTTTGTAGCCACGGCATCACTAAAACGCAGTTATAAATGCATTTAACCAAGCACCACCAGGAATTAACATCAGCAACACGAAAATCCATATAAGAGGCCGTAGCAGACATAGAAGATTGGGCCCAGAACGACAGGCAGGTTGTTTTCCTAGCACCCACCGCTAAACCCGTGCCGCATTTACCTATTTAGTATAACGGATTAAAATGTTTAGGAACCTATAAAAACGACCAGCCGTGTGGAGCTATAGTGCGCGGTTTGCAGAATATGCAGACCTATTATAAGAAGGAGCATAGGTGGGAGAATCCGCAAAAGCGAGGACGTTATTACTAAAGGCAGCAGAGTATTATACAGCGGGCGAAGATGTGGGAAGTTAGCGTGCATTGCCAGAAATTCAGCAGCAAGGTGTTGTTGGCCTGATTGTTCCAGGTAAACGCGCACAACCCAGCCGCCGAGAGAGAAGAATAGAAGGATCCTATCCAGGAGGCATTAGAGGCCGCATTTACACAGGCAACAATTAATATTAAGAGAGCTAACAAGGAAGCAAGCAGTTAGATCCAGGCCGACAACAACCGATTCAAGGTTAATGCATGGTTAAACCGCGCCGGATGGGCAAAGCATTTAAAGAGATTAGATAGCGAGTGGTTGGAGTTGTTAATGCGCAAGCCCGAGAAGAGAGAAGAAGCGTTGGCCAATTTGTGTTTTGCAGTTAAGATAGTAATTTAGAAGGCGCAGCAAGCATCCAAAGCCAGTATAGTTGGATTAGCAGCCATAAATTATATTAATCGACGTGAAACCGGCAATAAAACAAACGAGAAGCTATTTAGCGCACGCCAGACAGGCAAGACAATAGTTAAATACAGCGCGTGTTAGTTAGCTATTGTCTATTACGTTTAGAGAACCCGCAGAATAGAGCCGATTTGCAGCAAGGAGATAGAAGAGTTGGAGAGCGAGGGCGATATCTAGAACTAGAGGCCAGTATTTAGGTTAACAGGTAAACAGAAGTTAGCGTTGGCAAAGATTAAGATAATAGTAGGGCAGGATGAAGAGGAGAATAGCGATAATAGTAATATTAGCAACAACAGCAGTAATAGCAACAACAGTTATATAATTAACAAGAAGGAGCAAGAAAGGTTAGAGGAGGCCGTTTTAGCATTTATATTAGCGTTGTTGGACCACCCGTTCACGGATAACAAGTACACCAGCGCATTAATTAGCGGCATGGCCGTTTTAGGCATTAGCCAGCGATGCGGTTGGGAAAGCGCGTTGATATACACGCCCAAGATTGCAGCTATTATTAATATATCCCGTATATTAGTTTTATATCAGGCCATAAAGATGCGTAAAGAGCGCGCGGCGGATATACAACAGAAGGAGCATTTTAGCCAGAAAGACGCCGAGGAAATAGTGCCGGCGCATTTTAAATTTGTGCAAGAGATAGCAGACCGGTTTATAACGTTAGTTTAATATAGCGGAATACCGCACCCTGTAGATTAGTTGCAGCGGTTAAAGGCGTATAGGATAAAGATCCGGTACACCACCAATACCGAGGGCGTAATTAAGTGGATGGACAATACGTTGTTGTATAGTAATATTCGATTCAGCATGCCCTAGTTGCGTTTAATAGTCCACGGGTTAGTGGAGACAGCCCGGGTCGAGTTGCACCGGGATTTATTATTATTAGAAGAGGTCGATTAAGTTGTGCGGGGGCTGTTAAGTAGACAAGAAGCTGTTGCATTGCCAGCTATTAATTGGGCGCATTTAGTAGATAACCCAGCCGAGTAACAGTTAGGATGGAGTTTTATTAAGGACCCGCGAAATTAAGAGTTGGGATTCGGGGGCGTGCATAGAAAGAGGTGGTTAAGTAATCGGGTCAGCCAGGAGCAGAAGATTAGGGAGAGGTTTATTAATATTAGAGCCAGCAACCCAGCAGCCGCCATAGCAGCAAAAGGCAAGCAAGGGTTAGCATAGAAGGGGAAGGAGATCAAGAAGTATACACGAGCGATGCGAGTATTCCGGCAGTATTTAGCAGCGTTGGTGCACATAACAGGTGGGTTGCCAGCGCGTGGAATAGAGTTGATAACGGTGCAGCATTAAAACAGCCCGAATAGCGACAGTAGGGGGATTTTTATTAAGGACGGGTTAGTAGTATATATAACGGCATACCACAAAGGCATAGGAGTTAGTGGAAAGGCCAAGGTTATCCACCGATATTTACCACGCGCGGTGGGCAAATTGGTGGTGTATTATTTGTAGTTAGTGTTGCTATTTTAGCAGAGGTTAGAAAATACATAGGGCGGTTAACTAGCAGAGATTAGTCTATTTATATAGGAGCCCGAGCCCGAAAAGGGTTGGACAATACTACAGAGGAAGCGGAGGCGGGTTTAAATTAATAATACAGCAAGCGCAGAAGATAAAAAGGACAAAGAAGAGGAGGATAAAAAGAAGGATAAAGAGCAAGGAGAAGAAGAATGCAAAGCAATAGAAGAAACCGAAAACATCGCCGAGGATAAAGGGGGAAAGAACACAGTCCTATTACCTAAGAAATGGAATTCCAACCGTTTAAAGATGGCATTGCAAGGAGCGTTATTGCAATAGATGGGGGTTAAGTTAAATATTATGGCATGGAGACACGGCACCAAGGCTATATACCGTCGATATATTAATTCCAAGGCGGTTGTAAAGGCGGTGGTGCAGGGCGACAAGGACGATTTAGATAATAAAGACAAAGTATTCGACATCTAGACCGGCCATAGATCCAGGATTAGAGGGGGAATATACGGTCGGTCGATTACAGAGTCGATATTCAGCACCGAGGCAAGGAGGGCACAGTTGCGGAGGGTTAGCACAGAGTAGCATCGGTTTTTGCAGTTCCCATACGCGATGCAGACTAAGCCGAAGAAAGGAACCCGCACGGCAGCCAACAGAAAGGAGGCTATTAAGGAGGAATATCAACGGTGGAAGATAATAAGATTGGTGGATATAGAGCAGCAGTTAAAAGCGTTAGTAGGCGAAAAGGCCGAATTTCAGGGCGTGCAGAGACCAGCATTAAAGGCCATTATACACTATAAGAGCCCGGTAGTTGCTATTATAGGCACAGGTGGAGGCAAGAGCGTATTATTTATGTTGCCAGCATTATGTTCAACAGGCGTGACAGTAGTAGTTATGCTATTAGTGTCGTTGCAGGAGGACATAAAAAGCCGTTGCAACAAAGCCGGCATTAGTTGCGTTGAATAGAACAGTTAAAGTCCGCAAGAATAGGCGCAGGTCGTGTTGGTCACGCCGGAGTCGGCGGTTGGAAAGGTATTTGGCAATTTTATCAACCAACAGCGGTCAATAGGACGGTTGGACCGGATTATAATTAATAAATGCCACGTAATTTTGGATTTAGTAGGCGGGTGGAGGAGCAGGATGTTGGCGTTAAGGAATTTAGTTATAATAGAAACGCAGTTAGTATATTTAACGGCAACAATCCAGCCCTAAGAAGAGGAGGAATTTATTCGATTAATAGGGTTGCCAGCTAGGGAAGAATGCCAGTGGTTTCGGGGGCCAACAACGCGGAAAAATATTATGTACCGCATTTAACAATATAATATGCAATAGGAAGAGAACGCAGTTGTTAAGTTGGTAGAGAGTTTAAAGCAGAAGCACGCGGGGGGGCAGGTAATTATGTATTGCGACATAATAAAGAAGACAATTTAATTGGCAGAAGTTTTAGAGTGCGTTTATTTCCACCGAAATATAGGAAGCAGTAAGGAGAAGAGCGAGTTGGTGAAGCAGTTAACCAAAGGGCGATAGCAGGTGTTCACGGCCACAAACGCATTAGGGTTAGGTATTAATATGCCAACAATTCGAGCGGTAGTGCACGTTGGAACAATTCGAAAAATGCGGTATTACGCGCAGGAGAGCGGAAGGGCAGGGCGTAATGGGCGGAAGAGTAAAGCAATAATTATGCACGGATTCTGAACAGATAAAAGGGGCGTTGTTTATAAGCAGGATTTTAGGGAGGATGTTAAGGAGGAAATATAGGGATTTATTGTGGGTAGGGGTTGTATAAGAAAGATAATTAACGGTGCAATAGATAGGAACCAAGAGCGAGTAGAATACGAAGAGGGGGAATAGAGATATCAGCGATATTAAGCGCGTTTAGGGGTAGCAGTTAATAAAGAGGAGGTAGTTATAGAAGCCGAAGCAATAACTAATATAGTAGTCGCCAATAGGGACACAGATAAGATTATTTCGATTAATTGGGATATACGCGCCAGCACGACAGTTGTAATTAAGGACGCCGATAAGCCCGATAATAATGCATAGGGCGTTACTACAGCAGACAGCGTGTTAGGGGTACCACTAGCAACGCCCCGGATGGAAAAGGAGGCGGTTGCAGAGAGAGTGGAATTTAAGCAGCAGTTGTCGGTTCAAAAGGCATAAGCAATTAGAGAGGCAAGTTTACAGTTAATAAAAGCGTTGGAGGTGGACAGATTAGTTAAATTAATAGAGCAGTGGAAGGTAGGTTGCCAGCAATATTGGGCATAGAAGGAAAGGAGTAAGGGGCACAATATTTAGCATTGCGATAAGCCGGAAGCGGAGAATATTCGGGTAGCAATTAAGATATTTCGAGAAAAGATAAACCTAATAAAGGAGGCGCAAGGGAAGGGGGCGAAAACGTTGTGGGCACCGTTTTTAGGGTGTTAGGAGTGCGGATTACTATAGAGGGTTTGCGCAAGTTATAAAAAGGATATAACGCGGGGAGGGTAGCAGAAGTAAAGGGGAAAGAAGTGTTAGTATAAGGGAGTATTGGCAGCAGCGGTGTATACAGTATAGGTGCGGTATCCTAAGGAGTTTAGAAATTTCGTTAAGAAGGAGATATAAAAGGGGGGGTGGAAAGAAGGTAGCAACAGGGATTAGGGGAGCGTGTTACAATAGTTTAGCGGGAAGGTTTAATAGGGTGGATTAGAGTTAAATTAAATGTGTTAGGGATTTGTTAGATTTATAGAGCAGGTTAGGAGATAGGAAGTTTAGGGTTATTAGAGTTTTAAAGGGGGGGTAGGTGGGTGCCTGTATAGGGTTAAGGGAAGGCGGCGGCAGCAAATATTTAAAGTAGGATAAGAAAGCAAGTGTTAAGTATAGAGTAAGAGTTTAAAAGAGTTTATTTTTAAAAGGGGGGGGTAGGTGGGTGCCCGTGTGGGATTAGGGAAAGGCGGCGGCAGCGGATGTTTAGAGTAGAGTATAGAAGTAAGAGGGAAACATAGAGTTAGAGTTTAAAAGGGGTGTTTTTTAAAAAGAGGGGGTGGGTAGGTGCCCGTGTGGGGTTAAGAAAAGGCGGCAGCAGCGAATATTTAAAGTAGGACAAGAAAGCAGGTGTTAAGTATAAAGTAAGAGTTTAAAAGGGGTTATTTTTAAAGAGGGGGTAGGTAGGTGCCCGTGTGGGGTTAAAGGAAGGCGGCGGCAGCAAATGTTTAAAGTAGGACAAGAAAGCAAGTGTTAAGTATAGAGTAAAAGTTTAAAAGAGTTTATTTTTAAAAGAGGGAGGTAGGTAGGTGCCCGTGTAGGATTAGGGAAAGGCGGCGGCAGTGGATGTTTAGAGTAGAGTATAGAAGTAAGAAGGAAACGTAGGGTTAGGGTTAGGGTTAGGGTTAGGGTTAGGGTTAGGGTTAGGGTTAGGGTTAGGGTTAG